CCCAACTGCTCCCAGCAACCACTGACTGCCAATAGCTCTGGGTCATGGGGAATGCTGACACCCCAGACCTTACACAGGTCTTATGCAGACAGCTGCTGCTGCTGTGAGTTCATAGGGTCCATGGCCATGTTACGTCTGGAAGACAGTGTTTCCCTCTCCTTCCCATCCTCCTGATCTTGCGTTCTTTCTCTCCCTCTTCCATGATGTTCCTTGACCCTTGAGGGAGGTGATGGAGATGTCCCCTTTAGGGCTGGGAGAGTTCTTCACATCACTTTGACGTTTTATGATGTCTGATGTTTTTGCCTTCATGGCAGCCCACTCCAACACTCTTGAAGTTCCTTCTGGCCTGGGTTTGTCTAACCAACCCCACTGCTAGCGTTTGTTCTTGTCCTGGTATCTCGTGTGCCAGATGTGTGCACAGTTTCTGGAGCCTTGGTTTGGTAGATCTTTATTTTTCTCTTGAGACATACATGGTATTTCTTCTTTGCTCTCAGCAGGATGGCTTGGCTTGCTAATGATTTCACAGTGTGAATAGACTTGTAACTATTAAGCCATGGTGATTTTTTTGCATGCAGCTCCGGGGTGGATGGGGGCGGGGGTGGGGGAGAGAGTTGTAAGTCATCATATGCATGGATTCATTGAGAAAAAAAATGAGAATCTGGGTCTAAAAGTGTATACTCGCTTCCTCTCTATTTAACAAGGGAATAAGAGGTCATGAATTTACAGAGTTGAGAGACAGGCTGCTGTGTGGAGGGGTGAAGTGATTGGGTGACGCACTCGGGCCTGGAGCATCCCCAGAGGTGGTCAGAATGACTGCATTACTGGGGCAGAGTCCCGCTCAAACACAGCCAGATTAGGTTGACTCCTCCTCCTGGGACAGAAATGTCCACATCTTGAAATTCCTCCAGGGTGCAGGGTCCTTAAGTCCCCAGCACCAAGCACAGCACCTTGACCAGACAGACCCTCTACCTCAGTATTGGTCACGGAAGGAATGCGTGCTCACACTTTGCCATACCCCTCCCCCAACCCGGTCTGCAGCTGCCTATGCTCATATTCAAACGTTTAATTCTTTAACATTCTGCTTGTCGTATTTATTTGCACGGAGGTTGACGGGAAGCAGCAGACTGGTAAACCAGAACCCAAGGACAGACTCTAAAGGTCTCTTGTCTTTCTGTTTTTGTTTATGCTTTTTTATGATTTTTTTAAAAAACTATTTTGAGGGTATGGCGCTGGGACTTTAGTTATATTCACAGTGTTGCGCAAAGCCACACCCTTAATAATCCATCTGCATTCACCTCAAACTGAAATTCCAACCTGTTAGTAACTCCCTGTTCCCTCTCCCTCTGGCTACCAGGAACCCATTGCTCCTCTTCCTGTGTCTGAGCAGGCTAGGTAACCGACTATAACTGGGCGGCTACAGTATGTGTCCTTTCCTTTTGTTTCACTTAGCACAATGTCTTCAGGATTCATCCGTGTTGACGTGTGCCATAATGTCTCCATCCTTTTTACAACTGACAATGCTGTGTTCATCCCCACCACATTCTGTCTTGGACACTTGGCTTGAGGCTTTTGGAGCAAATGTAATGTCTCCTAAGTTCCCCCTTCCTGTGGAATGTGGACCAAGCAGTGCTTTTATGATCATCAGCATACCCAAATTTTAAAACCATGCATGTCTTAGGGCCAAAAAAGTGGAAATTCAACTCTTAAACAGGAGTAACTATTTGGAAATCATATATATGGATTTGTGACTTGTATCCAGAATATAAAAGGACTCATACAACTAACCATTCAACGAAAAGTTCACCCAGTTTAAAATGGGCAAGGGGCCTCAGAATAAGACACACAGATAACCAGAACAAATAACTGGGGGGAAAATCTCCCTATTTGTAGTCATTGTGAGTATGCAAACCCAATCCACACTTAACAGGCGTGAGGATGGGTGGTTGAGCTGGCAGAGTAACAAGTGTTGAGGGAAGAGGCCTTCCTTCACATAATACAGTATGGAGGAGAGACAACACACAGTTATAGAAGACAGCTCAGGCCTCCCCTCAAAACGCTAACCATGAAATTCTGTCCTTATCTTATAGGCCAAAGAAAAAGAAGACACAGTTGCACAAAAAGCCTGCTCACTAGTGTCCATAGCAACATCACTAATGGCTAGAAAAAGTGGAAACAATTGAGATTTCCTTTGACCAGTAACAAAATCCACAATATGTGGTCTGTTTGAATAGTGGGAATATATCTATTAGCAAAACAAAATGGGGATTTACTGATGCCTCTTCTAACATGACCCCAAAGTCATGCTAATCACAAAAAGCCAATATCATATGATTCTGTTCCTATAGAATGCCCGGAATGGGCCAATCCAGAGACAGAAGGTGGACCAGTGGTTACCATGGAGACATATGGGGCGGGCCATATGGAAAAACTAGGAGTGGCCACTAATATAGGGATTTGCTTGGGATGGTAAAAAAAAGTTCTAAAATTAGACTATGTGAAAGAACAATGAGTTATATTTTAGTAAGTGAACCTGATGGTTTGTAAATTACAGCCCAATAAAGCTGCTTGAATAAAACATTTGGCAGCCATTTCCCAGGATTCCACAGGGTGAGGGTGTCATGGAGGCAGAGCTTTTACCCAGTATCAAGTAGAGTTCTGAGATGAGATTAGGGAATTTCTCTCAGATACTGTAGGAGGAAAAGGGAAATTAGAATGTGTTGTGCCCCGTGTGTAAGAATTGAAATTTGACAATTCCTGTCAGTTTCCTAAAAGTGCACCATGTCTTTCTTTCATGAGTGACAAATTGGTGGGACAGATTAATTAATGAACAGAGTTAATAGAATTGTGTCCAACCGCAGAGGAAGGACTTCAACAGCCTTAAGAACGGCTTTGGTCTGTTTCCAACTTGGGCTCTCTTTCTCTCTGTCTGGGTGATGTCATGAGTACCCAGGTTGTCGTTAGGGCACCCGTCTGGCTAGAGTCATCACCGCTTTACGTAGGACTCCCTTCTTCTTTAGCGGGTGTTAGGTCCCTGCTCCTCCCCTGACCTTGGAAAACCAACAGTCTCTCTTCTGATTGCCCCGTAAGTCCATCTCAGGTTTAGTGGACGTGTGGCGAGGGCTAATTGAAGGCTAAATGGGATGTAGCTTGTTGGTAGAAAAATTGCATTTTATGTGTGTGACCCTGGGGGTCAGCCTCCACCAACACACACACACGCACACGCACACGCACACGCACACGCACACGCACACGCACACGCATGCATTCACTTGATAGAGCTTTGCTTATGCTTATTAATCTGTCAACAAACTTTTACCTCTCAAATTAATTTAAATCTGTGGTCACTCGCTGGTCTGTTGCACATGGCTACCCGTTGACTGGATTCTCCTTCTTGTGGCTCTTCACACTGCCTTTCTGGCTCCTCCTCCTACCAGGTCTTAAGCCTGGGTACTTGTCCCACTTTCCTTACCAGACTGTAGACTCCTGCAAGGACCAAGACCAGCTTTACATCTCTGCAGCTACTAGGCCATGTAGATGTACAGGACCGTTCACTGGGTTCTGCGTGGATGGCGTATCACACAGCAGCCAGAAAGAAGTGGCTTCTCTATGGCAGTGCTTTTCCTCAGCTGATGTTTGCTAAAGGAACATCCCAGAGCCAGCATCCTGCTATCCTGCTGGGGGACTCACAATGGCCTCTCATTTGATTGGCTATGACCCAGGCTTACAGGCGTGCAAGCATGGTGTTAAACCACGTGGATTAAGGTTCCAAAATGAATGTAACGTTTGGCTTTTCTTCCTTAGAGTCTGAATAATATTTGTTGTTCCAAATCCTTGTGAAGGCGCCTCTGGAATGTGAGCTCTAGATGTCTTGGTTTTTCTTGGCAGGGCTGATCAAAGCCATCAATCATGTCAGAGCGTTAGGCCACCAAGAAGACAAATCGAGTCCAGAGCTGTGCCCAGACTTGGATCAGTTGATTTTTAAAAATGTATTTCTCCCTAATTCTCATAGTAATTCTGTCTATTTATGAAGTGCAGAGTGACATGTCAATAGCTTCATACCGTGTGAGGTGATGGGATGGAGCAATTTGCATATCTATCACCCCAAACCTGCATCACTCTCTCTGTGCCTCTTATACCCTTATCTACCTTATACCCTTCACGGGTTCTCTTAATCACCATTCTCTACCTTTAAATATCTATATATTATATACATAGAGATAGATAACATATTTTAATGAATATAATTTATTATATAATTATATATTACATATAAATATATTGTATGTATGCATTTCTATATGTCATTATAATATATAAGTATATATTATATATAATATATAAATATATTTTATGTATATATTTGCATGTATCTTTTTTCCCCTTCCCTTCTCACTCTTGCTCTGGCCCCGCTCGCTCCACCCCCACTCGCTCCGGGCCCCCACCTGCTCCGACCCAAAGTAAACTGTAGCTGTCTTCAGACACCCATATGAGGGCATCAGATCTAATTACGGATGGTTGGGAGCCACCATGTGGTTGCTGGGATTTGAACTTATGACCTCCTGAAGAGCAGTTGGTGCTCTTCACCACTGAGCCATCTCATCAGCCCTGTATATATCATTATAAATATATGACACAAGTACATTTTTAGCTTCCAGATATCAGTGAGAATGCAGTGTTTGTCTTTCTGTGCCCACCTTATTCTTTTAACCTACTATCCTCTAGTTGAGTGCTACTGAGATTGACGACAGGATTTTATTTTTTGTGGCTAGATGGTTTTTCACCCATCAAGGTGAAAGTCCCACCTATTTTCCTTGACCACTCCTCTGCTGATGGACCACTTGCGTTGCTCTCGAGTCTCGGGAGTTGCGGGGAGCACTACAATAAACATGGGAACACAACCAGACTTTCAAACCAAAGGGCTCGCTTATCTCCACCTCACTGTGTAATAGAATCTGTGCTCTCTTCCCCACAGAGAGTGTCAAGCACTTCTTAAGTTTCTGTGTGTTTCCCACTGAACTCTGTGTAGCACGGGCATTTGTGACAACGTGGATAACAAAAGCTCAGTCACCATATCAGCAAGCTTGAGCTCAGAAGGGCGTGTGAAGATGGGATGTGAGTATTGTTTCTCAACACTGTGGCCAATGTCATGGGGGCAAGAAGCCCACGGCCTTACTGTGTGACGTTTAGCCTCTCAGGCACAGCGCTGGTGGCCCATGTCCTCTGCTTCTGTGTGTCCCTCTTCTTCATGGAGGAGGCACCTGAAAGGCAGGAGGGAGACAGGCTTTGAGGACTGGACTGGCTTTGACTTTGTGTGAGCCTTAGCTGTGAGCATCCTGTTCTAAGGGACACTTGGCTACTCTGCAGAAGGGACTGATGTTGTCATAATTTTGGGTGTTTCATTATTTCTGAGTTTTGTTTCTTTTGAGAATGACAAAACTCACAGTATCTCACTTATTAAAAAATAAATCAGGGGTTCTCTAGCAGAAAGAGACAGTTAAGTGGCCACAGGGCACTCAGAACCTCAGTTGACCCTCTCTCTTATTAAGTAGAGATCATGCCTGCCCAACTCTCAGAGTTCCTCTGAGGATTAGATGTGGACATAATACTCATCTGTAAATCCGTGTCTCTTCCACTGCACACTGATGACTCTGGCTCAGGCTTAGCTCGGGGCTGAGCATCACGTGGGATCATATATGCAAAGCCCTTGGTTAATGGTGGGGCCAAAGTCTGCCCTGGCAAGCAGGGCATTGAACAGGGGTCGGGGAGATCACCTGAAAGAGAGATGGTGGGAAACAGGCAGACACAAAGAATCACGGCTTGTCTATAGTCTGATCAAATCGCCGATTTTACTTTTCTCACACAGGGGTTATATACACAAAAAGGCAGGATGTGGGGAAGCGGATGATGCAGAAGCGTAGGTGTTCAGGGGGAGTACAGATATCTTCCAGAACAGGGTATCAGCTGAGTAAAGGTTCAGGGGGACAGGTCACTATGACTCCACCTATGATTCACTTGTCCTTATCTAAGTTGGTACTGTCCATCAAGGCCCATGACTACTTGTTCTCATCCAGGCTGGTAAATTTCCACCAAAGCTGCCTGTTTACAAGATCTTATAGCTATCTGTTCAGTGTTTTTCCATAAAGACCCAAGACTTTGTGTTAGCGGGCTGACTTAGGCCTATGGCTGATTTTAGGCCTTCAGTGTATAAGCAGGGTTGTCCCTGACAAAAGTCAATGCCACGTACCTGCCACCAACTTCAACCCTCCTGCCCACCAAGCCACTGCCCTACTTATGGCTGACGGCACTCACTGTGGAGCATTCTGTCTTTGTCTCTGACCTCTCTGGCCCCTCCAGTGTTGGCGTCTCCTCTACTGTCTCCGGTTGAGACTGCCCCCCTTCTTCTCTGTCCAGGATTCTCTTTCTTGTTTCTGCTCCCTAACTTCAGCAAGGACTCAGTGGCAAATGTCATCTTCTGTAGTTTCCTTTCTGGTCACTTTCCACTTGGAACTCATGCTCATTGTCCATGCCCATGAAGCTTCCAGTCCCATGGGATTAAGTCCCTCAGGTTTAGCATGGGGCTGCACAACTGGCATATATAATGATTGACATCACCTCTTACGAGCTGAGCTATAGATTACACAAGCCAGTAAACCTGGACCTTCTCCTCCTTGCAAGTGGATTGCCTCCCGACAGGAAAACTGATACAGCTGTTTACAATATGGCTCTTCACCTGTGATAGGAAAGGGATTGAAGACAGATGACAGACCACTTGTCCCAAAGTCACTCACCTTGAGGTCAAAGCAGGCTCCCCCTTTGTCCTCTAAACCCATATTTTGTCCTGGTGACTGATGGAGGGGAAGGAATGGAAGGGAAGCCTGAAGACCAGCAGGATATGCCCTAAAACAGCAGTTGCGTCCAGTGTGGGAAATAGTCACAGCAAGCAACCTGAGCAACGCTGTAAATGACGGCCTCCGATGACTGGCCTGCCTTCTGCTAGCAATCGAAAGAAGGAAAAGGAACCTCACCCTCAGCTTCATCGGAAAAGCAAAGCAAAATAAAACAAACCTTCAAAATGACTGTCTTAGTTAGGGTTTCAATTGCTATGAAGAGACGCCATGACCAAGGCAACTCTTATAAAGGAAAGCATTTCATTGGGTCTGGCTTACAGTTTCAGAAGTTTAGTCCATTATCATCATGGAGGGAAGCATGGCAGCATGCAGGCAGATATGGTATTGGAGGAGCCATGTCTTAGAAGAGTTCTACATCTTGATACAAAAGGAAGCCAGAAGGAGACTGTGCCACACTGGGTGGAGCTTGAGCATAGGAAACCTCAAAGCCCACCCCCATGGTGACACATTTCTTCCAACAAAGCCACACCTACTCCAACACTGCCACATCTCCTCATAGAGCCACTTCCCATGGGTCAAGCATATTCAAACCACCACAGTGACAGAATGTATTGAGCAGTTTGAGCAACACAGAGGCAACCGTGGCAGCTTGGCCTCAGATCGGGACTGAATCTCCACTGTCCACCTTCTTGAGCTGTAGAGCCCTGAGCAGCTTTCCTGTCTCCGTGCCTCAGTTTCTCCATTTGTTGTCTGTGAGTGGATCTGGCCCTCAGGGAAGTTGTGAACTTGGAATGTGATAGCTAGAGACTCAGAGCTGTGCCCAGAACCTGCTAAGAGCTCAGGGAACAGCAGGAGTTGTTGTTACTGAGGCTGAGGGAAAAAAAAATCTCACTCAGAATCTCAGAGATTTCCAGTCCTGGGCAGGAGCCAGAAGTCAGTGGCCCAAGGTCAACCACAGCAGCTTGATGAGCATCTGATAGTTTCCTAACTCCACAGAGGGCCAGGGCTGGGCTGTCACTCACTGATGGAGAACCTTCCTAGAATGCACAAGACCTTGGATATGCTGATAGACCCTTACACACAATACAGGCTTTTGTCTTCAGAGAGACGATCTAAGGTCCATGTGTGATGCTCCTGAGGAAGGCAGGCCTCAGGGCAAGGCCTTGTCCTACAATAGTGGAAACATTTTCTCTCTAAAAAATTATTTATTATTAGTTTCTATGTGCATGCGTACATGTATATGCATGCATGCCATGGTTCTGAGATTGAACTGAGGTCCCCAGGCCTGCATGGCAAACAGCTTCACCTATCAATCCACTTCACTGGCCTAGAAAGGTTTTCTTTGACTAAGAGAATGGGCTGCCGACCCTAAGAGGGTTTGTTATTTAAAGTAAATAGCAAGGTACTCTGTTCTTGCAAGGATATAAAATAAATTGATTTCCAGGGCAGGTTTTCGACTAAGTGCTAAGCCCCCTCACACTGCTCTCTGTTCAGTCCCAGAGAGGTATGAAGAACTCATGAAAGTTTTATGTTTGCCCACTGCCTGCTTAATAAAGTTGGGCTTGGAAGGTTTTTGAAGAGTGCTCAGGTTATTAACTGGCTGAGGTGTGAGTCTAACGGCATCTCCTTAGCCAGCAAAACATTTGAGAACAGCCAAGAAGATATCCCGGTTGGATGCAGAGGATGCCCGAGGTCCAGAGGCCGTAGCTTGTTTTCCTCCTTGCTGGGAATGGATGAGAGAGAATGTGACCACCCATGCTCCTGACGTCTAGCCATGGAATATGGGAAGTCACAGCTGTTGTCTCATCTGGACTTCCTTCATCTTTTCTTATGTTTTGTTTGATATGGGGGTTTTGCTATGTAGCTCCAAATGGCCTAAAACTCACCATGCGTTAGACTCACAGAAATCCTTCTGCCTCAGCACCACACGTGCTAGAATTACAGTAGTGCCCAGCTACCCTCAGTTATTGTAGTTCCTTTCTACTTCCTTCTCAGATCAACCTGTCTTCTTCCTAAAGGCTGAACAATCATAGCCTTCTGGTTATGAGCTCACTTTGTTCTGTGGCTTGGGACATGAGGCTTAGGAGAGAAAAATGTCACAGGCTTTTCAACCTTCCTAACATGTGACCCTTTACTGTGCTTCCTCATGCTGCAGTGACAAGTAATGAAAATTATTTTCATTGCTACTTCATAACTGTAATTTTGCTACGGTTACGATGAACCCTAATGTGAATATCTTAGGTCTTAGGAGACTCCTGTGAAAAGGTTGTTTAACCCCTCCAAGGGCTAGTGACCCACAGGTTGAGAACCAATGCTCCAGATGGTCCTCACCAGCCCTTGGGAATTTCCCTATAGTCCCTTTCCTCAGAATTCCTGAGAGGTCTCAAGTGGTACCCACAAGCTCATTTCTGGGTTTTGGAGGTGCATTTGCACATATGTGATCACTGTGATAAAAAGTGTGGTCTTGGAAACATGGGACTGTGGGACCAGGGAAGCCATCACTATCGTCCTTCCCAAGATGTGCCACATCTAGAAATGCTGGTAGGATTTAGGGAGGAGTGACTTCTTCATTTCTTGGCGGTGCAGAGTGATTGGAATGCCCAGCTGTGTGGACACAATGTTAGCTGCTTCTAAAGGATTAGACCCTTAGTTCCCTTAGTTTTGGAGAGCGGACTGTGCTTTGGAAACAAGGCACCTAGGAGCCAACGCTTCAGCTGCAGCCAGGCTTCGTTGAATTCAGCCTGAGTTCATACCTAGATCCCATAAGCCAGAGTAGTAAGGTAAGCAGTCCCCAAATCTCGAGCCCCAGAGGCTTTGAGATAGCAACTGTTTCTTGTTTCAGATCAGTATTTATGGAATGTCGTGTTAGGTACCAGGAGATCACTATAGTCGTGAAGCTCATTTTCAAGTGATGTTTGGGGCAATGGTCGTTACATGCTATCTTCTGCCCCGTTCATCCAGACTGTCCTCTGTGCATGTAGAAAGTTACTAGCTAGCTAAAGTTCTTGAAATGCTGTGAGCCTTAGTTTCTTCCTCTGCAAAATAGGTATAACAGCAGATCACTGGGTTCATATGGATACCTTGTCCACAGTAGGGTGCTTCATAAATGAATCATTCAATATCATGAATATAGTATCAACCTAACCAGGTATAGTATCACACACCTTTAATTCCAGCTATTAGGAGGCAGAGGCAGGCAGATCTCTGTAAGTTTATGGCCAGCCTGGTCTATAGAGTGAGTTCCAGAACAGCCAGGGCTACATA